ACTTGCTTAATACATGAGCAAACCTTATTCTCTACTTATATGAGTAAGTCACATAGCTGCTGTAGGTGTGAGAATTACTGAAAATATTTAGTTTGGCCTTTTTTAACCTTAAAAAGTTTAAACATGATAGCATATACTTCTAATGGAAGCAAGGAAATGTAAAAACTTCATGAGTGCATTTGCCCATACATAGGAAAGAACAAGCTAGCTCCACATCCACTTTCAGTATGGTGGGCATAAAGCACAGTTTCAGATGGTGACCTGGAAGTGAGGCTTTGGACAGGACTACAGCTATTTGCATCTAACAGAACATATGTACACTTGGGGACACCAAGAGCCTCCCTTATCACCGTGATGTGAAAGGTTATTTTCTAGTTTGATTAGGAATAAAGATAACCCTATTGTTATAGTTTTGTTTACATCAAGAAACTACAAGAAATAATACATTTTATACTAAAGTTCACTGCAAACAGGCAGATCTCTCCATTCTCACTTATTTTACGTGCTCTAGATCTTTGAATAATATCAATAGATAATAAAACATTAAGCCAGAATACAGATCTTACATTTACACATGTACTACATGCATAAGCATCTTGCAAAGATGATAATGCTCTAAAATGCACAATGTGGATGGTATTCAGTTTCAGGATATTATAAAGTTTTTTTCCTCATCTTCACTAGTTTCACTTCATTTACAATTAAAATCATTTTTGTTAAATGTTGAGATGATTTTTTTTTTTTCTTTTTTTGACTTAAATCACATCACCGAAGAGCAAAGAGATAGAAAAGAGCCCACTAAAAGACAAAAATGCAACAGCAAATTTACACTGAATCTGCAAGTTTAAATTTATCATGTTTTCTAAATGATACTGTGACTGATGGAGCTTCTAAGATCATAATAATACACAGAAACTAAACCAGTTTAAAAATATTATATTTAACTCTACACTGTGAAAAGACATTAAATAAATTTGAGAAAGACATTTTATAAAAATAAAATTAAAAAAATATATAATCCATAGGAAAAACAAACAACTAAAGACAAAGCATTAAACAAAAATTTGATATTTATTTTTGTAGGAAGGAGCTCAAATATTATTTTTCCCCATAACTTGTTATAGCTTTGCCTTGCAAAGAGGAGTGTCCAAAGGCCATATTCTCTCATGCATTTGAAAAAAACAAAACAAAACAGAGTACACACCAGACCACACATGCTGTTTCTGCAGAACACACATTCGCGTTCTCCAACATTTTTCCTACCCCAGTGTTTGATAGATAAGGGGTCCTGTAAAATTTATGGCTTAGTCTGCCTCTGAAAGCTGTTGCTGGGCTACCTTACAGATTTATGTCCTGAAAGATCTGCATAGCAGCTTCCCATCCCTCACTGAGAGAAAAAAGTCAACTAAGTTTTCCACAGCTTCTCTGACCTTCTCTGTCTATTCTTTCTGTTCAAACAATTCATCTTATCCCATGCAGTTTGCAAGCAGAACTCTATTGAGCCAGTTGACTGGTGTCAGGGATTTCCCTTGCTAGCTACCCCTTTGCTCTTTCCTCTGTGCTGTCACAGCAGAGAAATGACTGTGTGGCAGGCTAAAGATGATATTTTGTTATGAAGTGTACAAATTGGGCAGAAAAGTAAAAAAATAAATAACAGTGTGCTTGTGTGTATATTTTGAGAAGGGAAGAAACCTTGACTGTTTAAAAGGACAATATAAGCTACTATTCTTATGCTGTGCAAGTTAAAGTTCAGGTATATATAAAAATATATCATACCAGCTGATTACAATCTTTGAAGTAATTTTGTATTTTTGTGAGTCCTGAGGGGTTTGAATAGAAGTATAAAACTATTTTTAATATAAAATTAGATAACTGTTTGCATGTATGAAAGCTGTTAGTGAAGTATCTTGCATGTAGTAAGAATGGAAATTCTTCAGAAGAAATGTATTTGTTACCTCTAATATAAAAGCTGAGACCAAATCAGCTTAAAGACTAATATACTGAAAGGGTCACGACACTATATTATGGCTATCTTTTAATAAACTAGAAAGATGAAATATGTTCTAATGTATACACTCACTTTTTTCCCCATGTGACAAATTCTGGATTTTTATCCTTTTTAATGGAAAGTAACATAGGCTAAGTATGTTTGGACACCTTCACAAAGCTCAGGTGATTATAAATCCTTTCTTATCTACTATGAAGATAATGAACATTTAAAGGACAAAAGAACAAGGAAGTATAGATTAGCTAAATATGTTGCAGAGCTTAACTTCCTTTCTATACTGAATAACTTGAATCCACTGGTTTTTCTACACTTTGTTACCCATGAGTTAAATACTAGGATATTTGTTTAATGTGGTTGATCCGGTAGAGGAGCTTCTTTTACTACAGATTTTTCATATTTAACAAAATGAACAATGATAGAGCCTGAATTCCAACTTTTTTCCCCCCTTTCCCACTCTTAAAAGACTGCTAGACCATAACAGTTCAGAGGAAGGGTACATAAGTTAAATAAAATAATTTAATGCACACAGAACTCACAAGAATTCCATATTCTAGAAAACGTATTTAATCCCATCTAGTTCTGCACTGCTTCTTTCTTCAGCTGTGCATGCTTCTAGTCAATATGAAAACTTTCAAGTAGCAAGAGAAGCTAGAAGGTGGGCATTGTATCAAAATAAAACCAATCTACAAACCAGAATTTCTGTTCCCTAAAAAGACAAGCCATACAAGATGGTTAATGTAAAAAACTAAAACCACCAAGAACAGCAGTACATAACCTGTAAGTGTTTTGGATTACCATTGGTTTAAGCTTCCAAAAAAAATCTTGAAAAATCCTTCCAAAGCTAGATCCTTTCTACAACATGCAGCGCTTTCTAGAATTAAAACTACAATACAATTTTAAAGTTCTGAAGTTCTAGAGTATTTAATATGAAAACTCTTCTATAATGCTGCCCATATCTTCTGATGTCTTTTTCTAAAGTTAAAATTAGTATGTACAAGCATACTACTGATATTTATCTTAATATGCATATACACGCCATCTTAATTTGATAGTAAATACTACAGAAATATTAGGCACCAAGTTTTACTAGTTCATAGCAGATGAGAGACCAGCAGTGACACTTCAGGTGCGCACTGTGCCTGTGATTGCAATCACTGCATGTTCCAACACTGCATTGCACTTCATCTCTTTCATGCCTAGGATGACAAGTGTGGGTGGCTGGAAGTGCAACAGCTAGGAGGGTCAAGTTGGCAGAGCTGCAATCAACAGCAAGGGGTCAAAGGATAATGTTGTACAGTAACAGAACAGTCGCAGACATAGAAGCCTGCATCAGTAAGCATTAGAAGAATGAAGTATCATCATAGCAAGGTCCCACATGGTATGTGACAAGAACTAGCTGTCAACACTTGCAAAGTTCAGATACCACACGCTAATTAAAATGACTAAGAAATGATTCACTATACATTAAGTTCTCCTTCTGATGCATAAGATTGGAAAAGGAAAACAATTAAAAAAATGAACACACATGTGAGTTCAATCTGGTAACCACTGACATTTTTAGGAGTTTGTAAAACAAAGCAAAATTTGACACTCCCTTCCCTACCCCATGTAATTCACATGGAGATTTATATGTTCAGGGCTATTCTTTTGACATTATGTTCAAGTTAGACTAGGGCTAGAAAAACATTTTGTCAAAAAAGGGCATCAGAGAAATGAAAATTCTGGCCAATCAAGTGTATGGATACAGAGACTGTGGCTGGAAACTAAGGGAAAACCCTAGGAGAAATTTCAAAAATATTTTTAACATGAGAAGAAATGCAAGTAGAATAAAAAGGACACACAATACTAATTCCCTGTTTGTAAGCAGCAGGACAGTTAAACTTGGCTTTCAGCAGAACTACATGAAAGCATCCTGCACTCCACTTTTGCCTGCATGTCAGGGTGCCATCCAAGCAGCATTCCCAGCACAAGCTTGCAGGTCAGCCTTTAAACACTTTCTTTTTAACAGCTACGTTGAAGACAGACACATGCACACAAACATACATACTGCTTAACACATTTTGTAGATTTGCCTGTAACATGCTCCATTTCCATTATCTGTCTTGCAGTCATCCCACAAATGACTGCTTTGGGGAAAAACTGTGGGATGGTGAACTCTAACAGCTGCAGCAATGAGTAGTCTCAAGTCAGGGGAGGGAGCAAAATATTTTTCTTATCTAGACTTTTCAGTTGAAAAGAGATATATATATATATATCTTTTATATAATATATATAATTTTTATATATTATAATATATAATTATGATATATTTATTTATATATAAAAGATATATATATATAAGTATATATATATATAAAATGCATAACTCAATTTTGTGAATATATGCTTGTTATCACTTAACACTTTAAACCAGGTATACTAATGGGAAAACCTACCCTGTATACTGGCCACTGAATTTTGGCATCAGAAGCTTTAAGAGAGAATCAATCCTGAAATACCTTTATTAAAGTACATATTACAAATAAATGCATGTTCAATCATTTGAAATGAAGTTTCAACCCCTGCATAGTTAAACCTTTGAAGAAAAGACCATTTCGATCTTCAGACCACTTTACTTCTCTGCTGTAAGATAAGGAAGAGTCCCTGTGGAAAGTATTGTGTACACAGTGGAGAGGACTCTGGAAATCCTTCTGCAGCATTGGTATCGTGGATGCTGCTCTGTCAGATAGCTCTAAAAAGGCACTTAACTCATCAGATCAGTATAAAGAACGTGCTACAGTTTAGGCTTGCACTTAAGACCATCAGTGTTTTAATTTCCGTCTCCAAGCTGCAGACCTCAAAACACTGAAGTTACAAGAGAACTAGATTCTATTAATTTTGATATATTTGAACCATTTCAACACAAAATGGGAAATAAAGGCAATAATGGGAAAGTAAGCTTTATTTAAAGTAGCACCATCAACTAGATCTTCAACCATATTTATTTACATACCAGACTGATCTTTATCACCAGCTCCAGCCGCTTTGACTTGCCCGTCAATCACAGGCAGACAGTATGGCTCAGCTCATTCCACACATCAGATATAAGCATCCTAGCACTAGCTGTGACCTGGATCTACAGCCATATCAAGAAGCGTGGACTAGAAAGAATAGAACCCGAACAGAAATACAAGCTCACATATGACTAAAACAAAAAAATTCCCAATCTCTTTGAATAGATTATATATCCTCTGAAGTTTTTTAGCAACCTCAAATATAAACATTAAACAATGCTAGACATAATGCCGTACAATCAAGACTGAAACATTTTCAGTAACATTCATTGTATAGAAACACATGAAATTTTTCTTTGAGTTTTGTTTTGCCTTGCATACATTACTTTCGGAGTTTAATCTATTAAAGAACCATAAATGAACAACAAGTATCTTAGAGTATTTTAAATTGATCAAGCATTTTTATCCTTCGTGTATGCTGCCATGAGCCTTTTATATGACTTATTTCTAGAAGGATTGCCTCAGTAGGATACTCAACAAGTGAATATAATTATGTCACTTTCCTGAAAAGAACCTGTCTTATGCTAACATTTACACAAAGAACCTCTGCTAAGTCGCCTTCCTCAATTGCAACAAAAATTATTTAAGATGTACAATTCATTTGAAAACCAGAAACAAAACCTAGTTACCAGTTTTGTGCTAGTATTTCCATCCCTTAAGAACAAGAAAAAAAGAAGTGTAAAATAACGTAAGAAAGAGGTACTAAAGTGCTCTTCACTGATAGGAAAATCCACAACATAACCACTTTTCTTTAAGGTGAAGCAATTATTCTTAGCTGTTTCCCAACATGCTCATATCCAATATTTTTGACCCTTAAGAGTTAGAAGAGAGCGTATGGCTTTTTTTTTTTTTTTTTGACATAACTCTATAGACTGCCTTCCATTTTAAAATATAAAAGTAACCTTATAGCTTTTTGTGTTTATATTCATTTAAAATACAACATCAGAAGTTTGAGCATAGGCTCAGCTGTTTAACAAATTATGAATGCATAATAAGTACAACATAGTTTCATTTTATATGTTTCTAGGTACTCAGGTGAAATATTTCCTTCTTTAACAATAATACATTTGTTAAGCAGTCAGTGTGTAAGTACAGCTGCATCTAACTTTTCTTATTTTCTTCGTGGCTATCTCTAATTACAATGAAAAATGCAATTCACTTATTTTAAATCTCTTTCCACTCTGTCTTCATCTTCAGAACTATATCCAGAGCACCTATCTTTCACAGTAAATGAAAATAAGCCACTCACTGTCACATATCCATCTCCTTAAAATTCTAAAAGGTACAGTGTTACTGTGTACTCAGTGAAATACCATCCTCTTCTCAGGAATCACACCCATTTAAGGTTAATAAAACCCTTCCTGAAGGCAAACTAGATGTTTCAAATATATACTAAAACCCTTTCTTTATGAGCATGTCATTGCCTCAGATTTTTCCTGTCAGTTTCTCATTGTCTCTCTCTTTTTTTTTTTTTTTTTTTTTTTTTTTTTTTTTTTTTTTCCCAATTCAAGCTACATTGATTTACCTTCACAAATGTGCTAACACTGGAGATACACAATAGCAGTTCTTTCCTTTATAACCACTCTTTCCTCTTAGAACAGATGCTAGGGCAGGAATGATCTACCCCTCACTAGCAGAGCACATGGGGCCCAGCACAACTCACAGTGCAGCCTGCACCCTGCTGCCACATCATCATAGCAGCAGCTAAGGCCTGCCAAGCAGCCTAGCCCAGCTGCTCAGCTCCACTGAATGTCAGTGAACTATTAAATTCACCTGGGCTGAAACCAGGGCATGAAACATAATGCAATACTGACTCAAGTTATGGCAAATAATTTCACTTGTTTTGATACACCAGATATGCATAGCCCAGTGAACAGAAAAAAATATGCAGTCAAGCTTTCTGCTTTGATAACCAATTTTGAGAAGAGGCTTTGAGTCTACCAGTAAAATTTTGTTGTTGTTGTTTATTTAGAACTTCATTTTCAGGTGACATAAATACACTACTAGTGAATTTTCAGATAGGAATTACACAGCTGCAATTGAAAGTTTAATTATGACTCTTAACCAAACTTCTATAAGCCCTCTTACTAGAGAGAAATATTCCTCAATTCACAGTCACACCTTGTTTGCATTACACCTTTTGGTACTATATATATTTGTAAACAACTATTTTGAAGGATGAAGTACAGACAGTAAAACTGCATGAAAAATATCTGCTGAACACCTCAAGAATTAAGAATTGCAAATACTGTTATCAAACCAGCCTGATGCATTAGTTTCCCAAAAGCAAGGACAAGAATCCTACTAGTTGTATGGGTTTTTTTTCTTGCTCTCTTTATATGTTTTAACTTAAAGCATTAAAATTAAAATGTTTAGTAACTTTCTATACTTTAACTATAAGCTTTATGAGGGCAGCTCCATATTTGGAGTACAAAAGAAGGCAATAACAGTATTTGCAAATGGGATACAAACCATATAGAAAAGTAGCAGGTAAAAAAATAAGGTAAATTAGCTCACCCCTTCCAGTGGTGAGTGACAACTCAAGAAGAGTGAAATTACCATTCAGATAGAAGCAAGGAACCCTTAGCTGCTAACCCTTAAATGAGGGTGAGGAGAGGTGGATCCTGGCTCCACCCCTTCCAAACACTCAGCTGCATTGCTTCCACCTGAGTTCCCTAGTTAGCCACCCTTTCTCACTTGGTGATCAGCCACTGGTTCAGGCTGTGATCTGGCAATTCCACTGTGCCACATAGAATACATTTGGCAGACTAAGCAATTGTGCAGTGTTATAAGAACGCCATCTTGATGCAATTATGACATTTGACTAGCCATAACACTGCATCCTTTGAATGTAGAACAAACCTCAGGTCACCCAGTCCTTAAGCACATATTTAGATGCCTTCCTACTTCTTGCCAGTTAAGTGTACAATGGAGTAGTTCACTAGCTTCAGTTACAGATAGCAGATGGAAGGATGCTAATAGCTAGAAGTCATTAATGAAACAATGTAATGTTTTCTAGAGATAAAGCTGATTTTTTTTTTTTTTTGTTTGTTTACTTTATAAATTAGTCTGAGTTCAGCTTCTTTACAATACACAGTACACAGCAGTACACTAGTTATCCACTGCATGAAAATATCTTGCATGGAATGCAGCAGAAAATAACTTAAACAGTCATCATTTTTATGGCATCTTTCATTATTTTTCAAAAGAAAATTACCCTTCAAAATTTTGTTCCAGATCATTACGACTTTTACCAGACTTCTTCTGAAGTCTCCAATATAATTCAAAGAGTATTTGCAAGACTGATTTTTCTCTGTAGTAGAGGATGTAAGTCTAATATATTAGTCATATATAAAACAATACAACTGAAAAGACAAAAGTTTTTAATCATCAGTATCAAAATAGATTGATACACTGACTCCACTAACAGCCTTTGTGAATAGAAGAAAAATACTTTAAAGACATGGGAACAAAATAGTGATGCTTTTAGAGCTAAGAGTTTTTTTTTTTTTTTTTTTTTTTTTTTTTTTTTTTTTTGTGGGTTTTTCTTTTTTGATGTTTTTTTTTTTTTTTTTTTTAATATGGCTTTTGCTTTGGATTTCTAACAATTTTTTTTTTTAAAGGAAAAATATTTATATAAGAAAAACATATAGCATACTTACAATTTCTTCACATTTTTTTGAGGCATCTCATTACCTGAAGAGAGTTTCTGATATGACGAAAGGTGACAGTGGCTTGCCAGGCAACATCTTTGTAAACATTTTTCAAGGTTGCTGATCTAATTTTCTCACAGCTCCTAAAACATCTGTCATGAGTGATTAAAAAGTGTAAGAATTCATAATCCTCTGTTTGAGAAAAAATAATTAAACATGTTCCAATAAAAATGAGAATTACCTGAACTTGACGAGAGCTTCTTTGATGCTTAAAAAAGTTAGGGTCATTTTTTTTTTTTTAAATTTTCCTTTTACATAGCTTTTCAAGTTTCAACTATAAATTCTGATCCAATTGGAATAGAAATATGAAATGTAATGATGAAGCATTACTATGGTAGTTCTGACCTCTGAGAAAGCAAGTCCCAGCAATTTCATTAGCCCCTATGTTCCTGTGAGTTTTAGATCCCACATAAAGTGATGTAGATAGTTTGGATAATCATCATGTTATCACACTGTATTTAAATGGAAATTCCAACCACTTTGAAGATTACTTTTCACAACATGTGAAATGAGATAAAATATTTTTCATTCTGCAAGGTACATAAAAGTTAGAATTTACATTGTGGTGTAACCCAGGAGCAGCTCAGCGCCAGACACCTGTTAGCTCACTCCCCATCAAGCGGGTAAGGGAGTAAACTGGAGATAAAATAGAACTTGTGGATTGAGATAAAAACTCTTTACTAAGACAGAAAAGGAAAAATGGCAGCAAAAATGCAATGATAACAGTATATACATAATCACAGTGCAATTACTTACCTCTTGATGATAAATGCACTGCTAACAATACAACTACCCATTGACCTACAGCCCAGTAGTACCTCAGCATCTCACCACCAGTTTACTGACACCCAGCCATCTCCCAGCAGCAGCCATCCTCAGCCAACTGCCTGCAACATCACAGCCTGCAGTGTGGTGTCATGAATAACCCCCATTTTCATTCAGACCCTGTTCTGGCTCCTCCCTGTCCCACAGCAATCATGGCAGTGTCTCTGCCTCACCCAGCAGCCTGGCCTAGTCCTGTGTTGGTTCCCATCACTCAGCAACAATTAAAACATCAGCATGCTATTAACACTATCTAATCTGAAACCATGGCTATTCAATATCAAAGTGGGTGAATATGCAAGGTTTTTTGTTATTCACGATTTTCTCTCCATTACTTTATCCTTTTCAGAAACAATATGTATTTATGCAACTACAAAAACAGCTTTATGAGTAAACGTGTTCAAATCTCAGGACGAAAAGGGTGTGGGATACCTGATCAATGCTGTTATGAATATTTGCACTGGCATTATGTTTGTGCACAACATATAAATATACGCAACCTTCTTTTCAATCAGGATGGGTGTTTTTTTTTTTTATTTTGGTTTAGTGTGGCTGTTTTTCTCAGATTTTCCTTCCTTTGGAAAGAAGAAAAAGAAAAAAAGAAATGAATTCTAATTCTCCTTCCTTCTCTAGAAGGTAGGGATTACGAAATCAAGCTTGCTTCTGTATTGACTCCCAGATTCTATTTTTTTTAACATGCATAACTATTTCATTTTGCAAGTGAATACAACAGTCTGTTCTTCAGAATACTTCTCATGTTCAGACCAAAATATTTTATTTCTCTATATATTTACAGAGGAAGCAATCCAATCTGAATGGATGAGGTTTTGATGACCTCCTTGTTTGGAGTGAAATTCTGCAAGAAGCACTACATGGGTACTGGAGCTTTCTAGAGCAGAATTGTAAGTAGCGTCAGTACTCTGGCTTAGAAGGTCAATTCAACTGTACTGCTTTCAAGATCAGAAAGAGAAGGTGTTCTCAAAAAAACCCGATAATACTAAATTGAGAAAAGAATTTCTTTGCTTTGTTCTTTTTTTCCCCTCACAGTTAGAATTTCAGCATTGCAAGAGACAGTGAGAGAAGGAATACTTATGTCAAATACAATCAGAGAAGAGTTGCAGAACAAACTGCATTATGAGAAACAGTGTATTTACCAAGAGCAAGGCATGTCAAGTATTTCATTGTCAAGACAGATACACGCTGTCATGAGAAATCTGTTATTTTTGTATTATAAATATGGGAAATAAGGGTGAGAATTGTTTTCTTTTTTTGTCATACCATAATGTTTTATGTCTAGTGCAGCTCTGAGCTGCACAAGTTTCATTTTCATTGGACTAAAACCATATGAATTTTTAAGTTGTTATTACATTTATTTAAAACTCATGAAACTTGTATGAGAGTCCTATTACTTTTCTCTTGCTTATTTGATTTCCCTTCTGTTTCTCTTTTCTGTCCCTATCCATCCATGCTTCAGAATGCTAGCTTTCCATTCCCCAGCTTCAGTGTTCTTAAGCCCAGTAGGCCTTTTCATCTTCATCTCATACCAAACTTTCTGAATTTCTAATTTATTTCTCAAGAAATTCAAAAACCTCATTTTACTTTTGACAGACCTTCATTTTTGAGTCCCAAAGAGTGTACAATCCCACTGCTGTGTCAGCTCCATAACAGGATAGAAAATTTTAACTAGTTGCTCCAGTGAAATCCTACAAACTTTATAGTTCACCTTGAGCAGAATAAGCTGTCTCTTCCTTGAACTGGTGGCAACTGGACTAAAATTATTCCCAGAATGGCTTGAAGTTACACCTAATGGAATAACTATGCCTGATAGGAAATAAAATGCTACTCATTCATTAATTAATTTTTCAAATGTCTGAATATTGAAGAAGATTGCTTGATAACTTAGTGGAAATTATTGCTCATATATATATTTATCTCTGTTAATTTATGTTTTTAAAATGAAATGGATGACAAATTTAAACTGACTTTTATTCTTACAGTGGAAAAAATTAAAAATAATGCAACTGATACTCTGAAGACAGGATTAGAAAAGAGCCAAGAGAGTAGTGACTACTCAAGAAGTGACTGTCTAATTAGTAGAACCCTGGCCACAGATATATTTTCCAATCTCAGCAAGAAATGGAACTGTAGTTTACTCCCTCCATTTTCCCTATTCTGCATTCGATAGTTTAGAATCTGAATTCAAGATATATTTCCAGCATTTAATCCATGCTTCCTGTCTACATTTCTACTGCTGCCCTCATCATTCTTCCCAATTTTGTAAAATTGCAGGTAAATGTTTAATATCAATGTCACTAGCAGCCAAGTTCCAATAGATTTATTGCCATGCTATTTTCAGGACATATATTCAAGTAGTTTTAGATTTATTGCTACAAAGTACATAGAATTTTTAAGGGAATATAAGCAAATATGAGCCTAGTTGATATTGTTTTATGTACTACTTCTGATTTTGGACCCATCTGTTTAGTCTCATTTACAATAACAAGATCCATACTAGGGTCTTCCTGTTAAGAATACAATCTCTTTTTCTTTTGAATGTGCAAAGTGTGGAAGGAAAATCTTGTATTTCCAGTGTTTTGCTCAATGAGACTGTAGGCTACACTGTAATTAATCCTTTATATAGACAAAGTCAATATAGAGAAAAAAAAAAAAAAAAAAAGGAAAAGAAAAAAAGAAGTTATTTTATGAGTACCTGTCAAACACATAATATACTTCAGAGTTAATGGGACTTCCATTTGTCCTTTAGGCAACTTTACTGAGGTAATTACTAAGCTACATGCTATGTTAAAGAAAGGTGGTGGTACTCTGCAGAGGGAGCAGAGAAGTAAACAGTGGGCAATAAAAAAAAACAAAATATGCTAATTTTTTAAAACTTTCAGACAAGTGTTTTCCTACATCTGGAAAGATGGAATTAAAAGTTCAGGAGTAATTACAAAAATGAACCTAAAATAACGTTGAAATACAGTTGAGATGGAACTGCTAGAATCAGTTACAAGAAATCTATTTCACAGTAGTATAGATTATCTACACAAA